AACATATATACACATGATATATATCAATATATACCAGTAAATACCAATGCATACCATTAGAAACCAATGAACATTAAGGTATTAAAATATATACCAGTAAATACCAACACATAAATATATATCAATTGAACCCGATATACACCAATATGTACCAATATATTTTAATACATCAAATACCAATATGTACTAATATGTATAATTGCATACCAATATATACCGATATAAACCAAAACATATCAATATATACCAATTGACATTAATATATTCTAATATACACCAATATATACCAATATTTACTAACACATACTAATATGTACCAATATACCGTTATATACTAATACATTCTAATCTAACCAACATATACCACTATGTACTAACACATACTAACATGTACCATCATATACCAATATTTCCTAATGCATACTATTATACACCAATATACACCAATGTATACTAATACATACTAATATAAACCACTATATATCAGTATATAGTATATACTATTATATCCTAATGTATCCTAATATACGCCAATATAAACCGATATGTACCACTATATAATAATACATACTTATAAGTACCAATATATATCAATATCTACACACTAGTTAAAAGCCTCTACCTCTGATTTTCAGTCGTTTGAATAGCTGAATTTTCGATCTGCGGCCGTATCTGTAGCGTAAGTCGAATCTCTCGCGCGCATCGCGTCTGAGGATCAATTGGGCCTCTAAATAGGCCTTAGTGTTGTTGATGAGATTGGCCTGGGTAAGCTGTAGGGGGGGTGGGATGTTGCGAGTGGTAGTTAGAACCCTACAACCCTAAAAACCCTAAAACCCTAACTAACAACCTTAAACCCTGGTGGGATGCATGGGACAGCGGTGTGACTTGGCAGGACGTGATGGACTGGTGACAGGTGACGTACAGTGAGTGGTGCGACTGCCTATCGGTAGGTGGGCGGATTAACCAAATGCGCAGTCACCCATACGTGCAAGTAGGCTGGGTGCTGTCAGATCATGGAGAAGGTACATAGATGCGCAACCGAAAACTATATGTGTATATACATATGCATTTCCGTATACCTAGATATACTATACACTTCTAAATAAGTAACATTCTTCTCTTGAAAGAGCTCTGCGTGTGAGAGAGTATGTTGGCCCATGGCATGGGTTCCTCAAGTAAAGCATGCAGAAAGGCTGCGTTGTCATGGCAACCGCACGTACCTTCTGATTGATGCTGCCGTTCGCCCCAGGGACGTACATATACTTGGTGGCTCTGCCGAATCTACGCACAGCCGTTTGAATGGCTACAAATGCACTGGTGGTGAGAATGCAATTGCCATCCCATGGCAAGATCCACTGCTGCCCGCCACGCACACCTGTCATACAGACGGAGGTAGCGTCAGAATAGATACATGTCTATGAACATGATAAACGCACTGTCACACAAGATACAATCAAATCAGCTGATATATAT